ATGATGATGATGATGATGCTGCTGCTGATAATGATGATGATTCGGATGCAGATACTGCTGCTGATGAGGATAAGGATGGAGGGCGGGATGAGAGAGCACTCTCTATGAGGAGGGAGGCGCCGATGGAGGATCGGAAGGAGAAGAAGGAGGAGAAGGAGGAGATGGTAGAAACGCGCCAGGATGCAGGGCGGAGCATGGAGGATCTCAGACGGGAGAGAGACGGGCAAATGGGCCATCTCCCAGCGCCATCATGGCTCTGGGAGAGGACACCGGGAAGGAGGGACGAGGCGGCAGGACGCAGGGCGCCGTGCGGGGGAAGGCAGCAGAGTGTGGATAAGGGGAGGGGCGGACGCGCAGGAGAGAGGGAGCGCAGAGGGAAGAGGGGCCCGGAAGCAGTGAAGGTGCACAAGGGTGAATGGCGACCGGGGGCGGCCTCCCAAAAAGGCCCCCCCCTCTCAACTGCGGCAGGTGCGTGGCTTCGAGGGGACCGAGCCCTGCTGAGAAAGCCTCTGCCCTCTTCTTGGGAGGACCATCCCCTCGCCCGGCCGCTCCTCTGGAGAAACAGAAGCGGCACAACGCTCGGAGCCTCCACGCGGAGTTCTTGGATCGGCTCTGGCTCCCCCTCCGTGCTGGGAGTCCCCGGGCCGCGTGGTGGCAGACCGCGCGGGTGACCTGGGACTCCCCAGGGGACCCCACCGCGCTGCCCGTCGCCGCGCGGCTTCGGGGAGCCTGGAGGCCCTGGGCGCCCGCGACGCCCCGGAGAACGACCCGAGTCCCGAAGCCTCGTGGTGCCCCGAATCCGCCCCCTGACTCACCACGCGGCGTATGATGCTCCAACCTACTTTAGCCTTGACCGCCAGCAAGAATTTCGAGCGCCCCAAAAAGTACCGAAACTCAAATGTGTTCACGTGTCGGGCCTTGGGAGACACTCGCCCGACATTATTTCGACACTTTTCCGGGTGCTCGAAATTATTTCTGGGATGCGGTCCTTAAGTAGGATTGGAACAGCATTACACGCGGCGCGGCCACCGCCCACCGTTTGGGGAGCCACCGCCCCTGGCGCCCGCAGCGGGCACTCGACCGCCAGTGTCGCGCGAGCCCGCGCAGACCTCCTCGGTCGACCCGTCCGCCTCTTGCCGTCACTCGCACGTCCATCTTTCCCGTGCATTTGTCGGTTCCGTGCGTGTTTTTTTGGCTCGATGGTCCAGGATGTTTTTTGTTTCCTCCTCGGCAACGAAAGCACAACAACGCGGGGCCTCTTAAACGCGACCTGGGGGCGTAAAGCCCACCAAACACCTGGCGATGGCCGAGCGTCTAATGCACACAGTGGTGCCAGTCATCTAATCAAAAGTTCCGCTGAAGTGCGCTGCCTGCTAAAGTTGCTCAAGCTTCTTCGTAAGGAGGGAGGCGAGGAGGAGAGGATATGGGCACGCAGTACAACAGCCCTCCTTGGAGTCGATGGTCCAGGATGGTCCTCGATGGTTCTCGCCGAGACAACATGCGCACGTCCGAGCGAGGCCGAGGCCCGGGCGCTCCGTCGGTGCCCCCGACCTCGGCGCGCGCCGCCCGAGCGCCCGCGGAGCCGCGGCCCGCCGCCTCACAGCCGCGGCCTCGCGCGCGAGCCCGGGCCCCGCCCGCCCGCCCGCGGCGCGCCCGCGTCTGCGAGCGCGCCGTACACGAGGCTGCCGACCAGCCACAACTGGGGGAGCTGTGGTCCCTTACGCCCCCTGGGGGAACCCATCGCGTCGACGATCTCTCGAGAGGGGTGTCGAAATCGATGGGTCCCCCCGGGGGGGCAAGGGCCACGGCTCCCCCGGTTGTGGCTGGCCCGGGCTGTCCAGCGGCGGCCGCAGGGGCAGCCTCGCCTCGTCGCGGAAGATGAGCTGCGACATGAAGACAACGAGGGTCGAGGGTCCCGAGGACGCGCGTTCGCGCCAGCGCCCCCGCCCGTGAGCCCGAAGGCTCTCTGGGCCCAACTGGCCCCAGGCCGGCGCCAGAGTGGGCTTGTCCACCGGAGGCCTCTCGTGCGACGCAGGCGGTGCAAGAAGGGCCGACGCGCTGGGAGCCATCGGGGGAGCTGAAGGTGAGTAAGCACACGCTGGGCTAACGCAACGTCGTGAGGATCACCGAGATGAGCTCCTCCGCCGGATCCACCCAGAAGAGCGTGGAGGCGGCCCCGCCCCACTGGTAGGCGCCCGCCGAGCCGAAGCAGAAGAAACACCGCACAAACAGAAACCCTCGGAGCTCCGATACGAGACATCCGCGCGGAGTTCCGACAGCTCCTGTCATTGAGCAGGGACCGACCGTCCCGGCAGTCCTGTAGTCCTACCAGGAAATGTTTTTAGAACCCAAATGTTCAAATAACAAAAGCAATGTTCTTATAACATAATCCCGATGTGATAAAACAAGACGGACTCCGCCAGAAATGTTCTAAGAACATTTCGTGGAAACCACAGAAGGTTCTTAGAACATTGTTTGGTAGGGCTATAGGCGAGCAAGG